ACAATAGGGAATGATTTGGAGTGGAATACGTGATATTGAAGCCTACTTTGTGAAATTTGAGGGAAATATAAAAAACAGAACAATGACCAATGTACTGAAAGACCCATTGGATAAAAAAGTAATAATATTTTCCAGAACATTTCCATAGAGAAAAGAAAAACAGCAGATTTCCTAGAAAATTTACATTTGGCAGCTGGATTTATTATGTGCACATGTTACTCAGCAAGAGGACTTCTCTGAACTAAGTGTACTAAGAAAGGGTATCCTGTAGAGCAATTCATACTGTGATTAATGGCAAGAAATTTAAGGCAAGAAATAAATCTGGGTTATCAACAGATTATGTGTTGTTTAGGTACATCTGCTTCATCTATTAGATTGTCATACATCTAAAACATAAGACAGATTGCTGTTAAGGGTCAGAGTTTGTTCCCATTTTAATAAAAATAAGAGACTAGAGTCATGTACAAATAGACATGAGGCCTGTGTTAAAAGATTTCGGTTTCTTTTTGTGTGAGAGGAAAACTGCTAGTTTTCAAAAGCAGTCCATGCTGAAGTTTGCATATACTTCTGCACTTGTTTGTAGTGGAGAAGATGTTCGTATATCCTTTCTAAGCAAAAGAATAAATCTATATAAGCACTGTAAAGCCTTCAGAAAGCATAAGCAAGCAGTAACTGAAACCCACCTTCGTGGTCTGGGCTAGAGCACAGAAACAAAGAAGAGACTTGTGAGGCTTTTCATAATGAGGCAAGGCTTAGCTGAAGATAATTGTTCCAAGTGCTTGCTTCCTTTTCTTCCTAACTTCTGTCTTTTGATGCAGGACACCCCTTTTGATTTTACTTCACAACATTTCATACATCCTTAGCACACACCATCATGATTTGTGCAAATAAAGCCTGATTATTAAGCAGAGAGAGAGAACCACACACCAAAAGTATCTTCCTTCATTTTCTAAAAGAAGCCATGCAAAATAAGAAAAAGCAGGGACTCTGCTACTCTTTAGTTCATCTGTGCAAAGTTATTTTATAGCACGATTGTCTCACAAATAACCAAGATGCTTCTGGGCTGTATGTGGGAACTGATTATTGCCACATGCGAACAGCCTAGAGCAGTTAAGAGCCAACTCAGTAGTAGTAAATCAGACCTTGAAAGAGCACTGCATTTATTTGTTATCAGCCTATAAAAATCTTTCTAATCATAACCACCAAACACAAGCACAGAAGCCCAAGGGGATGTGTTGTTGCACTGATATAATAATAAAAATACAATGAGCATTAATCATAACTGTTTCACTGTCTCTGTTAACAAAATCATCCATTTTGAAGAAGGCTGTGTACATTTTACAGGAATTTTGAAGGCACCGTCATGACAGGGAACCCCCAGAAGAGGCAACTTCTAGGTCTTTACAACACAGCTAAATTTTTCTCTGTCAAAAGACAAAGTGAATGAGAGGAATGATAGAATGAGAGGAATGATAAAAGGAGAGGAAAAAAAATCACCTCTGGAAAATTACAAAAATGGCCCCTGGGATAAATAGGACGAGTTCAAAGCACATTATTTGACAATTCTAGGAGAAAAACTGCCACATATTCAGGTGTATCTGTCCAGCTGTAGCATCTGTCAACCTCAAGTCTTTGAACGTACCGTAACCACACTGAAGAAGAGACTTTCCACTTCCAGCCAAAGAGATACCCAGTCTCAGGAGCTCTAAGATAGCTCTAAACGGCCAGGCAATAATCTCTATGATGTTACACTCCTGGCATGTACATCTTACTATACTGGGTGTCTGTCCAGATACTTATGAACTGCGAATTGTAAACTTAGGGCCCTGAACGTGGGCCAATTGTTTTCTGGTCCTGCAGTTTCCTCACTCAAAGGAAGGACGACAAGGGTGCATGAAATAAACAGTATAAGAATGCTTGGTATAATGTTAATCAATCCTTACTGACTCAAGTTCATCAATAGTAATTTTTAGGCATCAAACAATTCCCACGTTCATACTCTGCTGGGACTAAGAATTACTAAGTGTTATCCATGTGCTCAATACTTTACTGAATCACAGCTCAGTTTTCATTCCAGAGCCTGATAAAAACTTAAGATAGTAATGAAGGGAGACATTCCATTGTGAAATTCAACAGTGGTAGCTCTGGTCAGGATAAATCAACAATTACTACAAATTCTCACGTCAATCTTTTTGATCAGACAGTGGAGCACAGAAGAGAAATCTCCTGGCTTCAGAAGCAAGCACTTGAGATGATGACTGAGAAGAAAATACTGATTTCTGCAAACCCCCAAACTCATTTAAAACCTTATTGACTTAAATGTCAAAAGTTGAATTCGAACCTTCTATTTCTCTGGAGGAAGTTAAGGATGTATGTAAAGCATGGCAAGCTGGTGGAGGGAGGGGATTGTCCTGCTCTGCTCTGCAGTGCTGGGCGCTCACCTTGCATATTGTTTTGGGCAGTTTTGGGCACCACAGCATAGGAAAGATAATAAGCAATTAGAGAGTGTCCAAAGGAGGGCAACAAAGATGGTGAAGGGACTCAAGGAGAAGCCAGATGAGGAGCAGCTGAGGGCAGTTGATCTCTTCTCTGTGGTGACCAGCGACAGGGCTCAAGGGAATGGTCTGAAGTTGTGTCAGGGGAGGTTGGACATTAGGAAAAGGTTCTGCCCCCAGAGGGTGGTTGAACACTGGAACAGAGTCCCCGGGAAAGTGGTCACAGCACCAATCCTGATGGAGTTCAAGAAGCGTTTGGATGATTCCCTCAGCGACTCTTGGGGATAGTCCTGTGTAGGGCTAAGGTTTGGACTTGATGTTCCTTGTGGGTCCCTTCAAATTCAGCACATTCTGTGATTCTGTGAAATATAATGTAAATGTCTCTGCAGGTGAAAGCTTAGCAAAATAAAGTTCAAATATTCCACTAAGGCAGCAGCCATTATGACTGCTATCATAGCATGACACCAAAAAATTTTAAATCACTTTCTCGTTGGTGAGGTCCCTGGTTTGAAAACACTTATAAATGAAAAATAATGGCAAAATTATAAGTGGCTAAAACTGAAATTGCTGTTAAAGTTGAGGGGCAAAAGCCCTTGTAATTTTAAAGATTAGATACCGATAATCTGAATGTATGAAAATTAAAAAATGTCTATTTTTTCCTTCATAAGACTGCACTCTGGATAAATATGTAGTACTTTTTCTCTTCTAATTCTGATCAAAGAGACTTGACAGTGAATATGAAGTGTAGGATTTTTTGTGTGTTTTTTATAGTACATTAAAAGGCTGTAATTTACAAAAATAAAAATAAAATTAAAGAAACACAGAAGTAATCTTAATTCAGTATAAATGTTGAAAACCACAGGGGTGTGAAGATTTACTCTTCTTTACTGACAGATATAGAAATGAATGTTTTACGCTGAAATTTGTATTTCTTGTGAAACACCTCTTCCACTGCCAAGGTTCTCTTTAAAAAAAACCATAATATATACAGAGTTTAATTTTTGGTAACACTAAGAACAGTTAAATGACATTCTGTAAACCGTGATGAGAAAGGTGAGTCTTACTAGGTTACTTAAATGGATACAATTTGATTTACTAAACATAGTACCTTCATTAACGAGATGCAAGGCCATATATGCCATAGTGATTTAGAAGTAAAGAGGATCTAACTAAAAATTCCTCTGGCCTTCATATTATGAAGGTTCCCTAACTGTCCTTTCACAGTAAACATTGCCAGATAACAAATCTGGCAAATCACTCTACTGTACATCAGATTGTTTCTGATCAGCTCTCTAAAACATCTTCCCCAGTCTGAAGCAGCTTATTGCCTGAAGCATGGCAAATAAGTACTGAACAATTAATCACTTGCCACAGCTCTGTACAAATATTCACTCACTCTCCAATTATGTTTAAAAACTCAAACCAAAAAATACACCTCTCTAAACTATGACAGTTTTATTCAATAAACTAGCTCAAAGTCCAGTGGAACAAAATAAGTGTACTTCTTTAAACTGTTAGTTTTCCCATTTTGCATCAAAAAGTACTGAAAAGCATTGGCAATTGCTGTACATATTGATAAGTTCTCAATTGCTTAGCAGTTATCTAAGCATGCTCCGCTAAATTGAAGGTCACACTTGAATTGTTGTGTTACTCAGGGGCAGAAACTGAGCACTTTCCAGAGGCTGCATCAGCATGTGGAAAAATATAAAAGATTCTCAATATATTATATGCTAGAATTGTCTGGTACTACTTATTGTAAGTCTGAGTTTTCAGTTGTGATTCTTGAATCTTTTAAACTGAAATTTTCCATGCTGAGCTTCAGCCTTGGGATGACCTTTCTTTGGAAAATTTAAGCAAACAGCTCAACTGTTTCCAAGAATGAGGCCAGTGACAAATATAAGCTCTTGTTCATGAATGAAAAGTCTAATAACATTTGTTTTTTAACTAGAATCTTCATTCATTGAAGGAGGTACATGGACTTGCTGTAGAACAATGGCTTATGGGCCAAGAATATAACTTATTCCTTTTGAAAACTAGCAAACCTACACACATTTCTGCAGGCTCTAAATCTTTGAATAATCACCTTCTATATTTTCTCAAACTTGTAAGAGGACAGAGAATGATTCTGGAAGATTAAATTTACATGAGGCATGCCTCAGCTGAGTGGTTCCTGACAAGGGTGGGTCTCACATGCCTAAACTCTATCTCCTCATGCTAGATCTGGCTCACAGGGTTGGGATTTATGCAGCCTGAGCTTCAGCCAGGCAAGGGAACAAGATAACAATATATATAATGTGCAGGGAGCAGAAATTTAAATGCAGAAAAATAAGACATATTATTGCATTTCTCAAATGAAATTAATCATCAAAACATTGTAAACTGATTTTCTCACTATCTGTTCTTGCAGTTGTATTTCTTGAGTGTTTTAATCTCTGTGTGCAGCTCAGTCTTGCTCAAAGACAATCTTTTTCTTCTTGTTGTAGTTCAAGTAACCAGGAGCCAGAAGAAGTCTTTGAGTCTTTTGGGCCAAAGATGCATTTGTCAGGAATAGGAGAAACTGGGCAACTAGGGAAGCTGTAGAAAGTGTTTGACAAAAGGGGAAAGAGGACTCGGCAAACCACTGGAGATGAAAAATAAAATCAAAGACTGGGATAAAACTCTTTAACGTATCACACATCCTCCTGGGGTTGTATGTAAAACACAGGAACGGGTAATAGGAAGATGACACTAAAATCCGATGAGCAAGACAGAGACTACACTGAAAAAACAGTGAAGATTGAGACTGTGTTGAGATCAGAAAATAGAGGTTAGACAGAGACCAGGAAAAATTGCGAATTAGCAGCCTGGGATAGATGAAATCTTTATGGGAAAAAACACGAAGGGAACAGCCTGAATCACTGAAGTGAACACTACTCTAAAGCTTTGGATTCGAACCCCGGGCCTGAAACCTCACAATTCGGTTCTCACCTTATATCTGTAAAATGTGAAAGCAAAGGTTTGCATTAGTTTCCAGCATTGCTCCCTGAAACATGGGGATGACAGCTCCTTATTCAAGCAAGCCTTACCCAGCCAGTTCAAGTGATAGTCATATGTGACTGACGGAGCCTTAGGGACCTAATGTCAAGGACATGAAGAAAAGGAGGATCAGGGAAGACCTTATTGCTACCTGAAAGGAGTTTTTGTAGCCAGGGAGGGGTCAATGTCCCACACAGCAAGTGACAGGATGAGAGGAAACGGCTTTTATTTATTCCAGGGAGAGTTTAGATCAGATATTAGGAAAAATTTCTTCACTGAAAGGGTCACCAGGCACTGGAATAGGGTGCACAGGACAGCGGTAGAATCGCCAAGCTTGGAAGCATTCAAAAGGAATATGGTTTAGTGAACACATATAAGTATTTGTTGTGTAGAAAACAAAATTGATTTCTACAGGAACAAAAATTATTTCCACAAGCTGAAAGACTGTTTAATAAATAAAGAGAGTAAAAAGAGAAAAAGAAAGCCTGAGTTCATGGTTAACGCCATAATGATATCCTGGAACTCTGTACTCCCTATTTATATTTTCACAGAATTAAAATTTACAGTTGCATTAATTATGCAACTCCATGTTTGCAGAATTATTTTCAGAAGTGATATGCTGTCATATGTGCAACTGAACTTGTTCTTGAATATACAAGGAGTTATGCAACAACAGTTTTAAGAACTAAGGTTCTTCACATTTCATTTAGACAGTCCAAATTAATGAATAATTTTGAGTTCAATCATTTTCTGACTCATCTTCCTATTTCTAAGGGGGGGATATTACTACTGCTTTACTTCGATGAGTCATGGTGAAAACAAAGGAATAGCTATGAAGCACTAAAATACTATCTATGACGGGTTCCATTACTAAACCTGGCTGAAACAAAAAAAATCCCTTCACAAAAATAGGGAATGACTACAGGGCAGTCGTGAAGAAGAAAAAACAAAACCAGATCTCAACCGGATTGAGAGGTCATGTGGAAATCCCTAGTCTGTGAAAGAGCAGTTCAGGACTTTCTCATAATGCTACATGTACAGAAAAAAGTATCCATTAAATTTGTCCAGACTTCTTTTAATGCTGGTATCAGTGTTCTTCAATGCTAACAGCAGTATACAGATGAGCACATGTATTTTTGCATATAGAGTATCATCATTAGTTAATACATGTTAAAAAAACCAACAGCTATCTGCTTAGCTGGTTACTGGATGCCAGCAAAGAGAGGCACACCCCCATATATGTACATGTACCCCCATAACAAAGCAAGCAGCTTGTTTGCCTCCCTATACTATTCTGAAGTTAAACACATTTCTTACAATGATCTGCAAGTTGCTTTTTTTCTTTCCTTCAAATAGTACTGATGGAAGAACACTTGAGACTGTGACAGAGCTGAGTTAAGGCAGTCAAATGACACTCTATTTATAAGCAATAATCAAAATACCTTATGACTAATTATTTAAACTTAGTGTACAGTTCTTTAAATTCCTCTTTCTGCAGCGCACAATTTTTTTTTTTTCCATGTGATGTATAGCTTGGACCAAACTGTTAGGGGTACTGACTCTATTTTTGCACTTAGAACAGTTCATGTATGGAACACCTACCAGCTGTGGCCCCTGTGTACTGTTGTCGTAATAAAAACGAGTGCAGCTTGAGCTGTTTAGGTGATTAGTGTAACTTGACTAAATGTCTCAATTTTTCAGAAAGCATCCAATATATTTTTCTCTTCTTGGGCTTCAAATGCCACGGAAGGAGTCTATTTTTCAGTATTTCTTGCTTCTTTCTCAGCCTGGTAAGAACCAGGAAGAGCAAACATAATACAAAACACAGCTCAAACATCTGGAATAGTTGGTTATGGAAATTCACATGACTAGGTATAGAGTTATGGATCCTTCAAGAGCCTTATGAGATTTTATCCTCTTCAGAAGAAACTTTGAAGATGTTTATCAATCTAGGTCAATCATCATTTGAAGATCAAAGCCTTAGAAGTGTCTATATGGACCCAAGATTCTATCAGGACTCAGCAGAACAAGTCTGCAGTTTGGAGGAGGACTTTTATTGTGTGTGAGTGCCAATGCAAACTCCAGATTAGGAACAATTAGATCTGAATTTAAAGCAACTCCAAAGTAAATTTGTTTTGTGGACACAATCTGGAGCTTTATAGCAATAGTGAACTGAACTGTTAAATACACATATTCCTTAAGGCCACCAGTACTGAACTCTTGATTAAAAGTAGGGAAGAACTCCAACATTTTAGTAAAAAAACTCGAAAAATTAACCTTCCAAAGTATAAACTGGGTAAGTTAATTGATAATTTTTCTCTTTTGTACTTTATTAATAGTTATGTGGGTAA